ATTTAGAGATTTGGAGAGTATGAATGTAACTGGAGGACCTGGAGAATGGAATGTGAGTGGTGTGTTGAGTAAGAAAGAGTATTATGATTGTTTGTGTGAATTTGCAGAGCGAGAGCTTGAGTAATTGCAAATGTGTGAATGTGGAGATAAATGTGTGAATGATTCAAGTGTGTATATGTGAGAAAAGCTGTTTGTTCCGTATGTATGAATAATGTGTGTGAATTTAAAGTGTGTGTTGCACTTTGCTGACCGACCGGTGCTGGGAATGGTAAGATTCCCGACCGGGACTCTTACCAGAGTATAAACGGTACCACGGGGACAGGTGCCCGCGGAGACTTGTCTCCGTCCGGTCATGGGTTGGACTCGTGGTGGCCGTGTGGGTATACCTGTATAGGGAGATCCTGCACGTAAAACATTAAAGGCTATGTCCCTATCTACTTCCCCCAGGGTGGGAGGACCTGTCCTCCCTACGGGACCTAGCGCTCCCGGGGTACCCGAGCTGGCAGAGCTGTGCCGCCCCGCGGGCGTTCCAAAAGTCTATAGGTGTCAACAGTGAAGAAACCGAGAGACATAATGGTAATGGACGTTGACTTTGAGGGAACGCCTTTAAGGGTTACCTTCTTAACCCCATGGATTGGGACATGCTCACAGAGAGCCCTGTCGAATCAAACTGGAAATCTGGAATGGTAGAATTTTCTCTTGTCCCAGTGAGGATACAGAGTAGAAACAGGATATGACGTCCCTGGGTGGCGTACAGTATACAGGCCCGGCTTTTCTTATCCGGCTAACCTGGCTGCCTGACCATGAGTCGAAAATCCGACGGTTACAGTAGTGTCGTGTGTCGCACGAAGTAGGTCCCTGCTATTCTGAATCGGGGGGCTGCTCCGAGGTACACCGGCTACTTTGAGCATTCACATCCTGAACAGACGTGAAGGTTGACAAGACTTGACTCTGAGTTTTCTTACCTTGAAATGGGTGAACGAAGTTGGCCCATCCCTCATTTGAAAACTCATGCACAATGACGACTACTAAGAACGACTTGACTTCTTCGGTTTCCCTTGAAAAGGAAACCGAGGAAGCAATGTCGAAAGTAGAGAAGAAGGAGCAGAGCCAAAGGTTGAAGGCGAAATCAACCAAAACGGCCCTCCTTAACCTCTTGAAACAGTCGCCTGAGGTCTCGAAAGACGTCAGCTGCCAGGTGATGGAGCACGTGGAAGTGCTCTCTAACATCGTCAACAAGCTGATGTGTGAGAACAGCTACTTAAGGGGAGTGATACCAACCGATCTCGAGTCTACATCGGGTGGTCCGCCTGCCGAGTAGAAGATTTCACGGCCGCGACACGGTGTTTTAAATGACAGTGTTACGGCCACGTGCAAAAATTCTGCACGGAGAAAGAGCTCAGCTGTAACTTCTGTTCTAAACAGGGTCACAAAGCGAGCGAATGCTCTGATAAGGCAGCAAACAAATCGCCGACTTGCCCTGCGTGCAAGAAGGCGAAGAAAAAGTCTGATCATAGAGCTGGAAGTAAAAGCTGTCCAGCTCAAAAAGCGGCCGTACAACGAGTACTAAGCCGAACAGACTATGGTAACACAACCTAGTCCGATTTCGATACGTGGCTTGCGTTTGATGCAGTTTAATGCTGGCCAAGGCAAGAACACTACTTCAGCCATAGGCCAGCTGTTAGACAAAAATGGAATTTAAATCGGTCTCGTTCAAAAACCTTACTCTGCAGAAGGCAAATTTTTTAATTTAATTGGTTCGAAGAACGACGAGCAACTACGGTCTGCAATAGTTCTATTTGACAAGAAACTGACTGTCATGACGCTATGCCAAGTCAGCATCAGTCTGACGTGTACGTGGTATCTGCAATACTGGCGAGAGCAATATTGATATATCAATTTGCACGAGCCAAGTTGTTAGATTCATTAAAGAGTGGAAAGTAATCGAGAACTGGTGTGAAAGCGATCATCGACCCATAATTATAGATCTCGAATCTATAAAAAGGCGCGATGATCTTGAACGAGTACTCCTGGGAGGCAAAATGTTTAATACCCATAAAGCCGAATGGGAAAAGTTCAATTAACACTTCTTGACAATCGTCAAGAACTCGATGCAAAGTGTGAGAATAGAATAGATGTCGTGAATCTCGCAAAGCAAATTTGAAGGATTATTACCCTCGCTGGTAGAAAATCCATGCTCATTCGTAGAGACAGAGGCCCTAAAGACTAACAAAAAAACTAAACATGACTATACTTATAGGTCCAATGAATACCGGCAAATATGTATGAGAGAAAATGTCCGCCCACTGTTATTTCTTGACATTAATGCCGAACACGTAACCTTTCATGTTCCGGACGAAGAGGATGTCGCTGCTATGCAGCGAGTTCGGAAGAGAGAGGAAAATTCCACCTAGGACAGTTGGAAGTCGATTGCAAGATAAGGCCGTCGCAGGCGACGAAATATGATTCACAATTTACTTCGCAACACCGGCGACGAACACGCCAGACTCCGCCTCGTCACAGCTAAAACCAAAGCCGCACACCGCGAAAACCCACAAAGTGCCCACCAGGAGAATCACCCTTCCATAGTTTTTTGCTAATTCTACCGCCGCAAATTGTTGCTCACCGTCTGGTAAGGAGTGAATATTCCCTGACAAATGCAGGGAGTATTAAGTCGAACGTCAGACGGACAGACATAGTTTGGGTAATTGTCAGAAAGCAAACGAATGGAGAGAAAATAACCGAGGTTACGTTAAGGAAGTTCTTAAAACGCAACCACGATGAAATCATATGCTAGTGTGACTATTAGGGCGAATAAATTAATAAAACCTTTCGCTCCTTTTAATTGTCAAAACTATATTAGATAATCGCAACTCGGAGCTCAGTTTAATATATAAAATTACTCGAAATATTAATAACACTCAATATAAAAAAGTGCGATTTAAACGATCGCAATACTGAGTAACAAAATTTACAAAGAAAGACCAGAAAAATTTGCAATTAAAAGTCAAGTTATTTTATGGAAAATAACTAAACCAGGAAAAAGTTAAATGAGGGCTCCCATACAATAAGGGGACGATCGCTCGGCGAGTTACTTTTTTGCCAGTCAAAGGTATGAAAATGTTCATAAAATTAAAATTTGAAATTTTGATTTTTGAAAAATACTACCTTATAGTAAATAAGAAGGCGCATCTTTTTTTCCTTTAACATTTTTTTGTAGAACGAATATTTTATTTAATAAAGTTAAAAAACTGTAAATATTTTATTTACAAATTTCATTGAATTTTAAAACATAAATTGTCGTATCTTCGACAATAATTAAGGAATCGTTTTGGAATATTATAAATATAGAAATGTCTGCTACGACGTTTTCTTGTCTTTGCCGAAAGAAAGTCTGCGGGGATGTTTAAAGTTAAAAGAACTTCCAGTGAGTCACTTGTTTATTGGTATATAAGGAAGTTTTTTTTAAAATTGCAGAAAGATTCCTTGTTTAGTTTTTGAAATATATTAGTTTAAACAAATAGCGCGCGGCGCGTTGAAATGGTATTTCAATAGTATATTGAATAATAAACTAATATTAATCTAATAATTCTATAATTTTTTATGTTAACGTCTTGAGATAAATAAAGTCTAAAAATTGAAATCTAAATAATTTATTTAAAATTAAAATTATTTACGTTAAAATGTTTCGAGTGGGAATTCACCAAATTTTTTGGAAAGCTTTTGAATTGTATTTATATTTATTTGCATTAATATTTATTTACGCGTTTTTATGCATGATTATTTTTTATAAAATAGTAGTGTACAAACTGTCACTTAGTTGATTCAATTCTGTTTCGTGATCATTAAAACAAATCGTGTTTATGATTAACTAAATTTTGAGGTATGCTACAGTGATATAACATATCATAAAATTAGTATTATCATAATTATTATTGATTAGAATAAAATAACCTTAAATTAGTAAAATATGCATGCATTAATAAAAATTCTACATATTTTTTTTATAGCCAAAAGAAAACTTTTTTTTATTTTTTTTTCTATAGATGGCATTAATTATAAAAAAAATTAGGCGACGAGCACTGTGTGCGATGGCGCAACAGAAGAGGCAGGCCCTCTATCCATCTCTGCCAGCGACTATCAAATCATAATCATAAATAAAATAATAACAACTGAAGTAGCCAATAAGGCTACACAAACCAAAAAAGAAAAAATAACAACAACAACAAAATTTGATAAAAAAAATAAACATATATAGAAAAACAACATCTTCCATATAATTTATAAATTTTTAATAATCCCTAAATTTACACTCAATATAGCACTTAGCGATATATGTCCACCGCGCCGTGAGATTTGGGAGTCTGGAACTAATTCCAGATTCCAAGCCTTCATAAAAGATATGGCGGTAGATTTCCATATAAAAAAATTCGTTAATAATCATTATGTGGGATGGGCGAAAATAAATCAACTGTACTCACTTGACGATTGGTTATTAGAAAAAGAACTAGCCGTAATTAAATCAGACTCATATGAATTATTCTTGAATCACGATGAGGTAGAAGAAGATTATGAGGACGAATTTGAGGATTTTGAGCCCCAGGAGCATAATAGCTCAGCATTGTAAATATCATAAATAAATTTTTTTTCTCTTTATGATCGAATAAATTTATTCATAGATTAAGAAATTCATTCGTTTAGAGGGGCATTTTGGAGTCAAATTTTGCAATTTTTCTTTAAAAAAAAAAAAAAAAATTTCTTTCTCTCCTTTTGCCAATTCAAATTAATTTTTTTTTAAAACAAATAAAATTCTTTTTATGTTAAAAAAAATTCATTTGTTTAAGGGGGCATTGAAATGGTATTTCAATAGTCAAAAATTGTATTATAAAATAATCATAAATTTTTATTAATTATAATATGAAATATAAATGTTTCTTACATATCTTTAGCAAATTTAAATATGGGAAATGTACTTCAAACATCTGAAGGAAATACATATATGGATAACGATAATGACATCAATGTAATGCAACAAACTATTATTTTTTTAAATGACACTACTGAATTAAATATACAAACAGGTAATCTCTATATATAATATTATTAAATTATTTATAACTATTTTATTAAAGTAAAGTTTACGATATACAATTATTTAATTTTAAATAATTTTTAAAATATTATATGGTACTCAATATTGTGAAAGAATAGATGATCAAGAATTATCGGAAATGAATAATATGAATGTCGTCGAAACTACACAAATAAATTTATCACAAAAAATTAATTTCTCATTAAAGGACATGGAAGAATTAAATCTGGTGACAGGTAAAATTTATATTTCATTTAATTAATTAATGTATTAGTAATATGAAAAATTTTTATTTATGACAATGTACAATATAATATAAATTTTATTAAAAAACATTTAGAAAATTCTTAACAATATGAGGGAACTGACAGTCAAACATCTGGTGACACAGTTATTATGAATGTTGTAGAAGAGAATACTTTCAATTTAAAGCAAGCAACAACTGTTTCCCTGAATGATAAAAGTGAATTAACAATAGAAAATGGTAAAATTGATATCATTAATTATTCAATTAATTTATGTTACATATATTTAATTTAATAACATGTAATATAATAATCATTTCTTTAATAAAAATTAGCACTTACAAAGCAATCTCAAATAAGAGACGATCAACAGTTAGAGGAAACAACAAATATTGAGGAAAATCTAACAATAAAAGAAACAAATAATACATCATTATCAATTGGAAAGGAACTGACATTAGGAAATGGTAATTATATTATAAAAATTGTATAATTAATGTAACAATATTGAATAATGCAATAACAATATATTTAATGTTATGAATTAATAAATAATTATATTAATAATCAACAGATACAATGACGGTTATACATTTTGATATTAATGAAGACAATTGCAATGAAGGAAGTAATGTCGAACAAAATGTAGATGATTCTGCCACAACCGTAACACCTGCACAAGAACATGATGATTCCCAATCAAGTAATAAACAGTCATTTTTTAAATTTAATATTAATATAATTTAAAAATAAATTTCATTGTACATATTTAACGTTTTGCTAATGTTCATAACAATCAACTATTCTATAAATTTCAATAAATAAATAAATTACCCCCATTATGACTTCAATTATGACTTTATAGTTTAAAAAGTATAAGTTATATTTCATTTAATTCATTTTTGTATTACAAATATTAAAAATTTTCATATATCATAAAGCAGAATATAATATAAAATTTATTAACAAAAATTTAGAAAGTACAAAACCATGTGAGGTTACGGGTAGCCAAAAATCAGAGGAAACTGGGATTATTAATGTAGTGGAAGAAAACGCATTAAACTTAACCCAAGCAACAATTGTATCTCTAACTGAAAATACTGAATTGACTATACAAAATGGTAAAATTTATATGATTTATCATTAATTATTCAATTATTATATCTTCCATATATTCAATTTCATAACATGTAATATAATAATAATTTGTTTAATAAAAATTAGCAATTACAAAAGAATCTGAAATAAGGGATCATCAGCAATTAGAGGAAATAACAAATATTCAGGAAAATGTTACAATACAAGAAAAAAATACTACATCCTTAACAATTGGGAAGGAAATGACATTAGGAAATGGTAATTATATTATAAAAATTGTGAAATTAATGTAACAATATTTAATATTGCAATGACAATATCTTTAATGTTATGAATTAATAAATAATTATATTTAAAACCATCAGATACAATGACGGTTATACATACTCGCACATTTTGAATTTTACTTACCCCAGAAAATTAAAAATAGGGACGCAACTATATAAGCCAAGTAAATGCGTGTTCCTGTCTCTTTTATCTGAACAGTTTTAAACTGGTAAGAAAAAGGATCCTTTTTTATTTTAATATAAGGAAATTTCAGAACAACAAAATCTTCTAAGCCAAGTCTTTTAAACTTGAGAAGTGCAGATTGTTGGGGGCTTTCTAACGGTCTCTACCTAAACGATCTGCATCTCTGGGCGAGAAAGATAAAAAAGATTAAATCGTAATTAAAAATTAAATTTATTTAAAAATTGTTAATTTTGGGAGACCAATTGTTAGGCGCTCTCTAACGATTTCTACCAATACGATTGGTCCTTCTTAAATTAACAATAAAAAATTGGCGAAGAGGAAAGCCTGTTGTCAGGAGCTTTCGAAAGATTTCTACCAACACGACTGACATTCCAAATCTGCAATAAAATAAATTATTATTTAACAAAACAACAAAATAATACCAACAAACAAATCTTCAAAGTCAAGCCACGGAAAATCAATGGTCAGGGGCTTTCTAACGATCTCTACCAACACTGTTGATTGTCCAAGAGTGGTAAAAAAGATTAAATCGTAATTCTTGTTTAATATTCTTATATGCCATGTGCATTGCTGATTTTGTTATTTGATTTTTCTAAGATTTAAAGTAACATAAATTAAGTTTCTGAATCAAGTCATTTTGCATTAAAGTTTGAATCCAATTTCGTCCAAGTTAGTAATTTTGATAATTAGTATTATTTGTTGTTTGTTATAATAAAATTTAAAAATCAAGTTTTAGGGTAATTTTAGAATCGAGAAAAATACGTTACAATTTGGCGCCCAACGTGGGGCAACACGTTTTACATCCCTGATAAGAGAGTTCAAATTTTGTGTAAAAATCTTTATATTCAAGTTCAAAAGTATTTTGTTGAAAGTTCTTACTTAAGGGGTTAGGGGTAGTCAGAGGCACGAAAAAATGAGAATTTTCAGTATTTTTTTTGCTATTAAATAATTTTATTTTACAAAAGTAGTAATATGGTATTATTAAACAATGTTTTGACTTGAAGTCACGAAAATTTAAAAAAAAAAAAATTTTTATTTCCGAAGTTACAGCTGTTTGTGTTAACCCAGTTCCAAAAAAAGGTCCTTGCGGTGACAATCATAAGTCCTTGGAGATTAATCAGAAATCAATCGGATAAAAAAAATTAGTTTTATAAATAAATAATCCTGGGCCTGATCGAAGGATTTTTTTTTTTTCAAAAATTAACAAAATGGCGGCCTCAGGAAATTTTTGTCTAGATTTTTGGGAAAAAATCAACAGTTAATTGGTCTTAAAAAATCGAAATTTTTCAAAAAAAAAAAAATCCTTCGATCAGGCCCGAGTTTATTATGTATTCTAAAAGCTGTATAAATTTCATTAAAATCGACTGAGCGGTTTTCGAGTTATAGTTGTCACCAGTTCAAAAAACATAGTTTTGAAAAAAACGCGTTTAGTTTCACACTAGATTTACGTACAAAAAAACGAATTATTAAATTACTTACACCGAGTCATCTATTCCTGGGCCATATTAATTTAGGTACTACTACATATACCCAAGTTTAAGTTCATCGATGACAATAGAACCCTAAAAGCCGATTTCTTGCAGCTGACACTAGCTGCAAGCGCTCCCGAGCGCTTTAAAAGGCCCGAGCTCTCTTTGTTATTTGTCGAATAACTTAAAAACGAATTATCGGATTAACTTGAAATTTTCAGAGATTATTTTTAAGATATTTTACTTAACGAAAATGCAAAAAAAAAAATTTGATTTTTTGAAAATTCTGACTACCCCTAACCCCTTAAATGCTACAGTTATTTTGACCTATGGTTTGTATTAATTCCAATTGTTTAGTTAAAATATTATAAAATTTTTGATTGTTTAATCTATAATAGTAAATTGAGTTTCAATTAATAAAAATTCTCTAATCACCTCGTGTGAGAATAATTCGCTACAGAAGGTTGGTTACAGAGAATAAATGTTTAAGGGAATATTAAATTACAGATTATTATTTTTGTTAAAGTTACAGATAATCGTCATCAACTTCCAAATAATTTATTATGAGGAGGTTGATTTCGATTCCAAATACACAAAAGTGTGTTAAGAAACTAAAAATTCGCGAAAGTTAAAAACTTCAAAATTATAGAAATAAAAATTTGTGAATTTGTAAAATAAAAACGAAAAATTATTGAGAATTGATAAGTGTGAAATTAAAAATTTTAAGTTAAGGATTTAATAAAATATTTCGAAATATTATTTGCTTTTAATAATTTTATTTCGATAATAACTTGTTGTCATGTTATTGTTCATTTAATTAAATTTTATTTTCAGCTTAAATACAAGTCAATATTATGGATAATACCATTGTTCCCTAAAATTCTAATTTAATTATTTGTTTTGAAAGACAGTATTTCTCAATTTTCAACAATGCACAGTGGCCGATTTCTCGAAAAACCTGGCCAAAAATCGAAAAATGATATGATTTCAACCAAAATTGGTATACCCATGTTTTTTGGGCTTCTCAATTCAAATTTTACATTGGTTGTGTCAAATTCAAAATGGCGGATCCAAAATGGCCGTTTAGATTTTAAAAAACTTTGATGAAAATCGAAAAATGATACGATTTCAACCAAAATTGGTATACCCATGTTTTTAGGGCTTCTGAATTCAAATTTTACATTGGTTGTGTCAAATTCAAAATGGCGGATCCAAAATGGCCGTTTAGATTTTAAAAAACTTTGCTGAAAATCGAAAAATGATACGATTTCAATCAAAATTGGTATATCCATGTTTTTTGGGCTTCTGAATTCAAATTTTACATTGGTTGTGTCAAATTCAAAATGGCGGATCCAAAATGGCCGTTTAGATTTTAAAAAACTTTGCTGAAAATCGAAAAATGATACGATTTCAACCAAAATTGGTATACCCATGTTTTTTGGGCTTCTGAATTCAAATTTTACATTGGTTGTGTCAAATTCAAAATGGCGGATCTAAACTGGCCGTTTAGATTTTAAAAAACTTTGCTAAAAATTAAAAAATTGTACGATTTTAACCAAACTTAGTATACTTACGTTTACTAGGTTTCTGAAATCAAATTTTACATTTGTTTTATCAAATTCAATATGGCGGATCCAAAATATTTGCTGGTATTATAAAATTGCGTAAATGTGTTAGAGCTTATTTTTTTAAAATTACAGACAGTACTTAAATTTTAGTTTAAAGCGAATGCGAATGAAGAAAAAGTCAGTCTTTCACGTTCAGTTGCACCGCCGGCCGGTGCAACGAGCTGTCGGTAAACCGCGCTTAGTGAAATAAAAAGTGATACCAAAACTGCAGGGGCAGCTTGGGGCAACTGATTTCAATTAAAATGAATTAAAAATATATTCTAGTTTATGATAATACCAGGTAGAGCGCGGATATCGGTAGATTTCACAACTCTTTTCATGATTTACGTTGATAAAACAATACAAAAATCGTCGCCATGAATAGCGATGTTTAATGTCATTTTTTAAAAACTGTACGTTTTAAATGTGATTATAAATACATTCAACATATTTCATACACCTTTGTTAATAATTCCCAAAAAAAGATATTCAAAAATCTGCTGTATATTAGTATATTTTCACTATTTTAACTGTGACGAAAATTTATAGTTATGAAACGTTCTGAGTAAATCTCTGGCAAAGATCACTTTTACTTGTTCACATAATAAATTGGTGATAAAAAAAGTGTAATTTTTTTTCGCAAAATTATGCAGTGAACCCTCCTTTATAATATTCAACAATAAAAAGTATAAATTTCTAAAAAAAATTTTTTGACTTTTGGCCAGGTTTTTCGGGAAATCGGCCACTGTGCAATGGAGTTGATTAAAATTCACTATTTCTGTCAATCAAAATTTTAATTTTGCCTTTTCGTAAATATAAATGTTGCTTTCCAAGGTTAATTGGATTTTGTTTTTCTTTGGAAATATTGACTTCTATTTTCGAAATATTAATTTTCTTTCATCGGTGGGGAAATGAGTAAGGGCCACCTCCTTATCTATTTTCCCCACTTATGCTAATTTTGGGGGAAATTGATTAGGTGGGAAAATCGCCCCTACAATGAAGAGCCTAGCTCCGTGAAGACGCTTGACCATCTGATCATTTGTTTCCTGGATTTCTTTTGAATCGGTCTAACCATCATAAGTTTTCAGCAAATATTTTCGTTCAACTTTGATTAATTCATTGTAGTGCATTCATTGTGAATTTTTTTTTGTAAAATTTTTTCTTTTCCGTTGTTCTCTTTGGCTACAGAACCTGTGCAGTGGTGGATACAGATTTATTTTCTTTT